AAAAAAAAAAAAAAAAAAAAGGTAATTCACCTACTTCTCCTTTCTTCTTCTGCACTTATCAACTGAAACCAATCTTTTTTGCTTTCTTCTAGTAAATCGTTTTAGGCTGCTAGTTCCTACCAGTTACCTCATCAGTTCAACCACTGACTACCACCATTAATAAATACAAATATCCAAAAATAAGCAAAACCCACAGTGTTCCTATCCTACAATCTCTCCTACAGTTCTATGGTTTATCAATTTGCGGCCCTTTCTCATCGTACACTGTTCAGCTTAACAAAATCTTGTTTTCTATTAAGACCTTTTATCTTACTGAAACGGTTCAAATGTACACAGCAAATAATCTATGTGTTGCAGCTGCTTTGCCCACTTTATCTCCTTGCATTTTACACTGTTGCACTTAAATTGGCAATTCTATTGATTAACGAGTTAAAATTACCATCTGATTGCATGTTTGTTGATAATAAAAAAAAAAAATGTACATAAATAACTACTTGCAATTAAAAGAAATTTTTTTTCTTTGCTTCAGAATCTTTCCGAGGAGTTCAGATTACATTATCCACATCCTATGCCGATAGCCCAGAAATAATTCTCAATTTCTCACTATTTCACCTTTTTTTTCACTGTAACTGATCTTACCTGAATAGTGGCAAGAAAACCAACAATAACAGCTAAAAAAAAAAATAATAAACCCCTGTTTGCCTATAGCGTTATCATCCAATATGTAATCGAAAATATGAAAACAGGAAGGGCAAAAAGACGGGCAATAAAAACAACAACACCGATAGCAACAACATTAACGATAATAATAACAACATATATCAAAAATTTTACACCAGGAAGATAAATGTTTGAATTTCAATTAAATGGTGTTAATGATCGGTGAAACGGAATACTTACCAACATATTGCTTCGCAGTGACCAGTATAGCGAACACTGAAAATACAGATAACAATTAGAAAACAGTGTTATTTGGTGGTTCAGTATCAGCATAACTTCTTCTCAACAGTTCAGTCAGAAACCTGATGCAACCTAATACTAAACTAATGTATTTGTTGGCCATTATCCTAACTTCCACTTTTCCTTCCTAACCGTTTAAACTGATAATTGCCCAAGAAAGAGATGCAAAACAGCTGTTCTATGAAATTTATTTAGCAGATTTTATAAAAAGTTCTAAAACTGTTGAATTCTTTT